TGAGCTGAATGAAACTTAGGTGGATGGGGTATATCCACTTAATATTACAGTCCTTTAGCTTCTGAGGTACTCGAGTTATCAGCTTGCTCGAAAAAAATTTTGGCGGTCCCGTACGCGGGTACCACGCTTACCCGGGGGCTGGGTTTGAGCTCATTAATACCCACTTGGACGGGGAACATTCTCCCAAGATTTCAGCGTTCTAGCTTCTCAGATCCCCGAGTTATGGACTTACCCGGAAAAAATTTTGGTAGGCCCGTACGCGGGTAACACGCGGGTAATGGCGCCAATTTTGGGGATTGGGGTCCGTACGTGCAGGTAGATTAAGTTCCCAAGTTTCATCCCTGTAGCTTTTGTAGGTCTTGAGATGAAAAACCGTGACAGACGCACACACGGACACACAGACACACACACAGACAACCTCTCGTCAATATGCGTTTTTCGCATTGCATAGCTGCAAAATACCCATAAAAGATATGCAGCCTAGGGTGTAGGAATCTGGCAAAGATTCATCCTCCAGCATCAGTGATGTCGAGCGCTTTGAAAAGATGATCTAATCCATTGCCCAGGGCATCCATTTGACTATGAGAATGTTAACTTCCCATAACTTTGTCGTCTGTTCGATTAGTACCCTTGGTCACTTCGCTTTGAGATCTACGGTGTGTGTTCGTGAAAGTATTCGCATCTTTTCCCTTTATTGCTTTTCAAGAAGAAATTTGTCATCCTAGATTTTAAAATGACGCATTTCAGAACACATCACATATAATCAAATGTCCAGATTGCTTATACGGTTGCAAGCGCAGTATAAAAGACTAGCCTTTGAGTTAGCGAACGTTGATCTGCAAAGCCAAGAAGCTTTTGAATTGGCTAGGAAGGTTTGTTTTTTTTTTGCTTCACTTCCTTTGTAACACGGAGCTTATTTGCTCTGATTCACTGCTTTCCAAAGATTTGACGTTAATTTAGGGTTTACCGCGACCAAAAGTGCTCAGTGCTCCGGTGATTTATTTCATCAAATTGATGCATTTCGATTCGCCTCATTTCACACTCAGTTTGCACTGTGTTTGCAAGGACGATAATTTTCTACAGGATTTCGTTAATGAGATCGCATTAA